GTGGCGCAAGAACCACTTTGTTGTTACGCCTAACAAGACTAGAGGGTTGGATAGGCAGGTCTGCAGGGGAATGGGACAAAGCACACAGTGCTAGAAAGATCGGTAGAGTGTTAGTACTGGCTTCTGCAAATGTCCAGCCATCTAGGATGAGGGATGGGAAGAGAAATGGCACCCACTAGTACTTTTGTTTTTGGAGAAGTCTCCCTATCATTCCTGCTCCTTTAGCATTATGTTCTGAGATCACTAAGTGAAAGCTCCTTCATATATGCCCCAGGCACTTTTTAAACTGCTACTATTGTGCTGTGTCTCTGGTTGAGTCATTTATTGTGCTGGCTTTTTTAAGGCCAAACTCAGTTTCCTGTTGCTATCTGAGTCTCCTGGAGTTAAGTCCAGTCAAATTTTAAAGTACCTGGAGTTAAATCTTGATGATACTAAAAGCTTCTAAAGTTAAGCCCCATAGGTTTTCAAGACAGGATGGGACTGTCTTCCTAGTGTGTATCCCAGTACTTATGGTGCCTGGTGTGGGGTCTAATCCTCTCCTTTCTCTTTGCTTGTGGTTTAAATCCTAGTTGTGGTTAATCTCACCTGGGCGTTTGGTTTCCAATCAATTTCCACCCCTCCTGCCCTTTTTGATGTGGTCTCCTATCTACAACTGACTGTGAAAAGTCTTTCTGCCAGTCTTTAGGCCACTTTCTGAGTCAGTTACTTCGAGGTAGTTATAGTCTCAGAGGTGTGTCCACAAGAGGAGGTGAGCCTAGGGTCATCCTACTCTGCTGTCTTTTCTGAACTTCTATTTGATTCTTAGAATTTTCATCTCTGGCATATTTCCCACCTGATTCACATATGGTGGCTGTCTTTCCCATTAGATCTTTTAATGTTTTGATCATAGTAATTTTACATTCCTTGTTTAATGATTTCAGCATCTATTTTGTATCAGTCTGGTTCTGTTGACTTCTTTGCCTCTTGACAGATATCTTTTTTTCTTTTTATATGCCTTATGCTTTTTGTTGAAAATGGGTCACTGTATAGTGATAATAGTGTTTATGTCTGAAACAGGGCTTGCCAGTGAAACGCCCAGAGTTCGAGAAACCCCCAAAAACAGACCACCAGAGACCAGTGTCAAAGCCAATCGGCAAGGGTTGTTTGTTTGCAGGTTCGAACCCGGACCTCCGCGCACTCGTTGCCGGTGACGCTGAGAGGCCCTGAACAAAGCCTTTGCAGCCTTTTTATAGACAGGAGTAAACAAGTCGTGGGGAGGGACAGGAGATCTCTATGGTTACAGGTTTGTCATTGGTTGATATTTAAATATGAACATATACCATATTTGATTGGTTCCCGCCATCAGGTTTTTGGCGGGATCCAATTACAACATTTAGGATACCTTTGAATTCAGCCAATCATAGAGCGAGTCTAGGGTCTTGTTCGGCGACTAACAGGTTAACTTCTCTCTCCCTAGGCCCTTCCTTCAGTAAGGCGGAGGGTGGCTGCTGGCCTTTCCTGATTGAGTGTTGCCAGGGTAGTGTGGAGGAGTGATGTGGTGGCCAGTTTCTTCAGCCTTGGGCAGTGTGCAGCTGCCTGATAGTTCCGGGGAGGCTGAAACTCAAGCCTTAAGCAATGGTACAGAAGCGGAAGGAGCTAGTTTGTATCTGCAGTTTCCAGCCTTGACTCAGACCATAGGAATGGTTCTTTTTTTCTTTTTGATTAGCTGAACTGAGGGCGGTCTGAGGATGGCTTTAGCCTTGAACAGTCTGAGGCTTTTCCTGGGACTGGGACTGGGGCTACGTGCAGCCCGAGGTTTCTCTTAATGGAGGACTTAATTTTTGGCTCTTCACCAGTTTCTTCAAACTAAATCTTTAGTTTGAAGGAATGTTTAATATGTTTAAGAAATAGTAAGTTCTCTATTTCAAAGAGAAGCTATCATAAGTTCTGTGGAGTTAAATGTATTCTAATTTACTTGCCATTTTTTTTTTGTATTACTGTTTTTATAATTACTTTTGGGGGTCTTATTCTATGTAAGGCATTCTCTATTTTTTAAAACACTCTTAGGGAATGAACTGAACTTACTGCCATTTTCCAAGTATGGAAACTTAAATAAAATTAATTAAAGATAAACAACTATCAAATAATACAATGAGAACTTAAATCTCCAGTTTTGTCTGATTTCATATCTTCTTAACTATTATCCTGCTTAGATTCATCATTTTACTTCATGAAATAAATGATTGGGTATCATTTATATTGAAGACCCTGTAATAAGTGCTGTGGAGGGACAATATGGTCAATATGACGTGATCGGCATTTAATAAAATGCTAGTGTTCTAAGAATAGACCTCAAAGAATATCCCTTTTAACTACACAATTAAAATAGTAGAAATACTCAGTAATCTTATTTATAAGTGACACTGATACTTAGATTATGTATGTTAGAGAAGTTTTTTGTTTTTTGTTTTGTTTTGTTTTTTATTGCTGTGAAGATTCATTACTACTGTAAGTGGTCTGACCCTCCTCATGAGGAAGACGATGATCGGCTTGTTTCCCAGACCATTACTTATTCAGAACTCATGAATAATATAGCCCCAAAGATAATCTACAATGATAAATTAGACTGTGGAGCACACTAAGTTAGATATAGAATTAGACATGTGGAAATGATCATTTGACAGAATAAAAAAAAGCTGTAGCAAAATAATGAGGAGGAACAAAGAACATTCTCCTCAAGCCTTAGAGTAGAACTTGAGTGAAGATAGGAAGAAAAATCAGTAGACAAGAATGAGATGGTTAGGTATAGGAGAATCAGAAATCTAGAATTGCTATCCAGTAGAACTTTCTGTGAGAATGAAAATGTTCTTTACCTGTGTTATTCAAATAACAGTAGAAAATACTCATCACTTTAAATTTAAAGCTAGAGGACTTCCCGAGCATTGTCAACCTGGCACTTAACCCAATGGTTTTGAAGGTTAGTTTACTTCTGCCAGTTATGTTTTGGGCTGACGATTTCTCACTCATTTACTGCCCTTCTTTGTGTTTTTGCCTCCATGTGGACGGGTGATACCTTATTCTCCAGTTCTTTGGCTTTGAGAAGGTTTTTGTAATCCTTATTTTGTCATTGGAAACGTTGGTCTATGTAATCTGTCTCAGAACAGGAATCTTTTGTTTTGAATTTCATGGGAGAATGCTCTGCTTAAATTTTCCTAGGCTTCATGGGTAATCTTTCATGTATTCTTCCTTGATTATTTTGTCTCATGTTTGTTTTCTTCATTTATTTTTTGCAGGATTTTTTCATAGGTCCCATGTTGAAATTTTTTTATTGTGAGTCTTCATTAGTGGTGTTTTTTTTCTTTTGTCTTTTCTTTTTTTTTTAATAAACTAGGGTAGTAGGCAGCTTAAATGTTGGATGAATTGTTTCAAGACATTTTTCTTACCAGCATTTCCCTCTATATAATAGACTCCCTTCGTAACTAGCCATAAGCATCCCACAAACTTATTAGAGGTTCTTTTTTCTACCTCTTGTGTTCTTACTGCCTTCTTGTTTTCAGAGTGAATAGAGGACATAGACTTCTTATTTCTTTTTTTCTCTGTAAACTTTAATGAAAGCTCTGTTATATTTTTCTAGACGGGGCTGCTCTGTACATTGGATGTCTACTATAAAGTTAGTTTTCTGCTTGTTTCTAACCTTGCAGTTCCTGTATTTCCACATGCTTCTCTTTTGGTACCATTGTTTTTCTCTCCATGCCTTACAGAGTATATTGATTCATTTAAAAATTAGGCCATTTCTCTAATGGCCCGTCATATCTTTATATATTAGTGAGGGTTTGAATCACTTGACTTCATATATCCCATCAGAGTGAGTGATTTTTTTTTTTTTTGCAGGCTTATGTTTTTAAAATTTATTTTATAATTTATCATTTCAAAAGTAAGTATTACAGAAGAAACTGTAATTTTTTTTCTTTTCCTTTTTTTAAAATTTATTTCTGAGAGAGAGAGAGAGAGAGAGAGACAGTGTGAGCAGGGGAGGGTCGGAGAGAGAGGGAGATACAGAATCTGAAACAGGCTCCAGGCTCTGAGCTAGCTGTAACACAGAGCCTGACACGGGGCCCGAACCCACAAACCGTGAGATCATGACCTGAGCCAAAGTCGGACACTTACCCGACTGAGCCACCCAGGTGCCCCTGTAATTTTTTTCTTGAATCTTCATAATTTCCCCAAATAAGAAACATCCATGGTATCCTCTAGTAGTTGAATGGATAAACTGTGGTACATTCATACAATGAGATAGTATGTGGCAATAAAAAGAAAGACTTATAAATCCACAAAAAGACATGAATTGAACCTTAGTTATGTATGTATTACTAAGTGTCAGAAGCCAGTCTGAAGAAGTTACTGTATGATTCTACCTGTGTAACGTCCTAGAAAAGACAACAATAGAGATACTAAAAAGATGAATTATTGTCCAGGGGATTGAGGAAGAGGGATGAGTAGAGGGATGTCAAAGGATTCTGTGCTCAGTAAAACTATTCTGTATGAAACTGTAATGGTGGGCACATATGCTTTTGTCAGAAGCCACAGAACTGTACAACACAAAAGGTGGACTTTGATTATCAATGATGTATCAATATTGGTTCATCAAGTATAACAAACATACCCCAGTAATGCAAGATATTAGTAACAGGCACCATATGTGGGTTGGGGAGGAAGTGGAGAGAAATATATATAGAAACTGTACTTTCAGTGCAATTGTTCTGTAAACCTAAACTTACTCTAGAAAGTAAAGCATACGAAATATATCCACACCTGATAGAGTTCATAAATATGACTATACAAAGTAATTAAATAGCCATAGTTAATATTTAAGTAACAAAATAATAACTTATATGGGAGTATGTTTCTTTTGTATTGTTGACAATTTGGTCTTTGTTCTGCCTTTTCTAAAAAATCTGTTTAGAATACCTCTAATCAGTCCTGTTCCTGTATTTATTTTTCTTTTTGTTTTTTTCTATTAGGTGTACTAGCCCTATCTTGGTATCCACCTGGTACAAATGATGAGAATGGAGAAAATACTGATGATTTGGTACCAACTATTTTGGATAAAGCTCATAAATATAATCTGAAGGTATTTAATTGTATTTATCTTTTATTGAGATATAATAAGCATAATACATTAGTTTCAGGTGTTCAGCATAATGATTTGGTGTGTTTATTAGTTTGTGAAATGATCATCAAAATAAATCTAGTTAAAATTTATCACTATACAATTACAAATTATTTTTTCTTGTGATAGGAATCTTTAAGATCTATTCTCTTAGCATCTTTCAAGTATGTAATACAACATTAACTATAGTCACCATGCTGTACATTATACACCTAGGTCTTTTTAATTTTATGACTGGAAGTTTGTACCTTATAACCATCTTCAACCATTTCACCCCTCCCCACACCCATCTCAGGCAACCACACGTTTGTTCTCTGTATCTATGAGGTTATTTTGTTTTGTTTTGTTTTTATGATTCCACATTTAAGCACGATCATAGGGTATTTGTCTTTCTCTCACAGACTTATTTCACATAATGTAATGTCCTCAAGGTCCGTCTATGTTGTAGCAAATGGCAAGATTTCCTTCTTTTTGTAGCTGAATAATATTCAGCCAACCTTTTGGTGCTGAATATCAGTACCATTTTCCAACAGCATTTGCTTACTTAATGTTCTTTGCCACATTTTGGTAATTCTTGCAGTATTTCAAATTTTCTCATTGTATTTATTAAGGTGATCTGTGATGAGTAGTTATGACTTGCTGGAAGATGAAATGATGGCTAGCACTTTTTAGCAATAAAGTATTTTTTAATTAAGGCACATAATTGTTTTTTTAGACATAATGCTGTTGCAAACTTAACAGACTACACTATAGTGTAAGCATAACTTTTTTATGCACTGGGAAGCCAAAAAATTCATTTGACTCACTTTTTTGCAATATTCACTTTATTGAACTGGTCTGGAACCAAACCTATAATGTCTCTGAGGTATGCTTGTAATGATACAGTAAGCATAAGTACTTTTTCAAACTTGTTTTTGTTTCCTTCGGATAAATACCTGAAAGCGAATTGCTGGATCATATGGTAGTTTTGTGGTTATTTATTTTTTTTAAAGAACTTCCATAGTGTTTTCCAGGTTCTGGCTGAATCAATTTATATTCCCACCAACAGTGCGCCGGGGTTCCCTTTTCTCTACATCCTCTCCATCACTTGCCATTTCCTACCTTTTTGACAATAGCCATTCTAACAGGTGTCAGATATATCTCTCACTGTTTGTATTTGCATTTCTCTGTTAAGTAGTGAGGATGAGCACCTTTTAATGTACCTATTGACTGTCTGGATATCTTAGGGAAAATGTTCAGAACTTCTGCCCTTTTTTTTAATTGGATTTTATGTTTTTAAAATTATTTTGGATATTAACTCCTTATCAGATGTCTGATATGCAAATATTTTCTCTCACTTGCTAAGTTGCCCTTCACTTTAATGTGCAGAAACTTTTTAGTTTGATGTAGTCAATTGTTTATTTGCTTTTGTTGCCTTTGCTTTTGGTGTCAAATCCAAAAGAAATCATCACTAAGATCTGTGTCAAGGAACTTGCCACCTATGTGATCTTCCAGTTTTGTAGTTTCTAAACTTACAAAATTTTAATCCATGGTTAATTTTTTGTATGGTGTAATATAGTGGTTCAGTTTCAGTTTTTTGCATGTAGCTGTCTAGCTTTTCTAACACCATTTATTGAAGAGACTGGCCTTTCTCCATTGTGTGTTCTTAGGTCCTTTGTTGGAGATTAATTGACCATATCTGCGTGGGTTTTTTGGGGGAAGGCTTTCTCTTCTGTATTCCATTGATTTGTGTCTCTGGTTTTGTTTTTATGTTTTTGATTTTGCCAATACAAACCATATTGTTTTGATTACTGTAGCTTCGTAATATCATTTGAAATTAGGGACCTTGATGCTTCCAGGTTTCTTTTTCTTTCTCTGTTTTGGTTCTCTTGTGGTTCCATACCCATTTTAGGATTATTTGTTCCATTTCTGTGTAAGATGCCATTGGAATATTCATAGGGTTGGGATTTAATCTATAAATTGCTTTGTATAGTATGCATTTTTTTAATAATATTAGTTCTTTCAGTTTATAAACATGGAATACCTTTCCATTTCTGTCTTATTCAATTTCTTTCATTAATGTCTTCTACTATTCAGTGTCCAGATCTTTTACCTTCTTGGTTAAATTTGTTTTTAGGTATTTCATTATTTTTGATGCCATTATAAATGGATTTTCTTAATTTCTTTGTGATAGTTCATTATTAGTGAATAGAAATATAACATTTTTGCATATCAATTTTGTATTCTGCAACTTTACTAAATTTGTTTTATTCTAAAATTTTTTTGATGAAGTTTTAGAGTTTTCTATGCCATATGTCATCTGTAAATTATGACAGTCTTACTTCTTCCTTTCTAATTTGTATGCCGTTCATTTCTTTTTCTTGCATTGTTGCTCTGTCTATGAATTCCAATACTGTGTTGAATAAAAGTGATGCAAGTGGGCATCCTTGTCTTGTTTGTAATCTTAGGAGGAAAATACATTTACCTTTTCTCCATTGGGTATTATGTTAGGTGGGGGCTTGTCATTAATTGCCTTTATTGTCTTGAGGGACATTTCCTCTGTACCTTCTTGTTAAGAGTTTTGTCATCAAGGGTGTTGACTTTTGTCAAATGCTTTTTTTCTCCATCTTTCCAGATGATATGCTTTTTATTCTTTATTTTGTAAATGGTTTGTTTCACGGTGACTGATTTGCTGATGTTAAACCATTCCTGCATTCCTGGAATAGATCCCCTTTAATCCTGGTGTATAATCTTTCTAATGTATTGTTGAATTCTGTTTGTTAATATTTGATTGAAGATTTTTGAATCTATGTCCCTCATGATGTGGGTTGCTGCACTGGTAGTGGGATTTATGGTTAGATTGTGTCACAGCCTGTCTTGTACGTTACAAATGGAAAATTTTCAGAGTATAAGATATTATTTATTTTAGCAATTAATAGATTGTGGAAACAAATAGAAATGATTAAAAGGATTTCAAAAGCACTATAAAGAAAGAAAATTTTATACTAAATAGCAAGAAAATAGGCATTATTTTAACCCATGGATATTTTTCTTTTTTTTTTTTTTTTAATTTTCTTTAATGCTTTATTTATTTCTGAGAGACAACGTGAGCAGGGGAGGGTCAGAGAGAGAGGAAGATACAGAATCTGAAACAGGCTCCAGGCTCTGAGCTAGCTGTCAGCACAGAGCCTGACGTGGGGCTCAAACCCATGAACCATGAGATCATGACCTGAGCCGAAGTCGGATACTTAACGGACTGAGCCACCCAGGCGCCCCAATCCATGTATGTTTTTCATAAATTGGTTATGTAGTAGGTAGCAACATTAATCTTAATGTATAAGAATTATAACCATAGATTTGCATTCTTTGGCCCTATTCAGTATAACTAAACAATAATTAAGGCCAAATTAAACATTCAAAGGTACATAAAATTAGAAAATATTTACTTGTAAAATTCTAAACAAAATAACACTTAAATATCAAAACTGAAATTTAAGATGATATAAAAATAAATAGCACCAAGAGAATTACTGCATTGTCAAAACTTGTGGGATATTAATAACAACTAAAAGTAGAGGAGGAATTAATAAAGATGAAGTAAGAAATTAGATAGAGGGGCGCCTGGGTGGCTTAGTCGGTTAAGCATCCGACTTTCGCTTAGGTCATGATCTCGCGATTCGTGGGTTCGAGCCCCGCTTCGGGCTCTGTGCTGACTGCCACCTCAGAGCCTGGAGCCAATTTCAGAGTCTGTATCTCCCTCTCTCTCTGACCCTCCCCTGCTCACACTGTCTCTCCCTCTCTCTCCTAGAAATAAATAAAAAATATTAAAAAAAAAAAAAAAGAAAGAAATTAGAAAGCCTTCAATTCTGTAGTCTGGATAAATCCATCATTTTTTCACTTAAAAATAGAAAAATCACTGGTGACATTTAAAAAAAGGGGAAAGAAAACATAATATCAAATATTAAAAAGGAATATATCTATAGATGCATAAGAGAGTTAGATTTTATATCAGCATTTAAAAAGTACAAGAGGGGTGCCTGGGTGGCTCAGTCAGTTAAGCGGCGGACTTCTGCTCAGGTCATGATCTCGGGGTTCGTGAGTTTGAGCCCCTCATCGGGCTCTGGACTGACAGCTCAGAGCCTGGAGCTTGCTTCGGATTCTATGTCTACCTCTCTCTCTGCCCTACCCTGCTCACGCTCTGTCTCAAAAATAAATAAAATGTTAAAAAAATTATTAAAAAAAGAAAACTATTAAAAAAATTTAAAAGTACAAGAAATGAGAGCTGGGCTTCATCCCAGCATGGAGTGCAACTCATGCTTGAACTCACAACCGTGAGATCAAGACCTGAGCTGAGGTCAAGAGTCAGATGCTTAACTGACTGAGCCACCTGGATGGCCGTCAGATGGGCAATTTTCTTAGAAAATACAAAAAAAATTAATTTTTTAAGCAGAAAGAAGTTTAAATAATCTGAATTGACTTGTATCATAGAAAAAATTGTAAAAGTTTATTTAACATGTCTTTACAGAGCATCAGATTTCACCTATTACTTCTAGTCAACCTTTGAGAAACAACTGATTCTTATGATAGTAAAAAATAATAGAAAGTTTACCCATTATCTATTGCTACATAACAAATTACCTTAAAATTCTGCACTTTAAAGGAACAAACATGTATTATCTCATACATATTCTAAAAGTTGAGAATCTGGAAGTGGCTGAACCTGGTGGGTCTGTTCAGGGTCTCCCAGGAGGGGATAGTCAGTTTCTCTGCTGATTCTGCAGTTACCTGAAGGCTGTAGGATCCACTTCGAAGGTTCTCATGTAAGGGTTCACGAGCCTCAGTTCCTTCTAGCTATTGAAATAGGACTTTGGATTTTCACCACATAAGCCTCTCCACAGAGATATCGGAATCTCCTTAAGACAAGGCAGTTAGTTTCCTTAGTGAATGATCTGAGACAGAGTCCAGTGTTTTCTTGACCTAAT